CTACTCGTTAGCAAAAAGCCCCACCCGCCCACTCCTTGACTATCTCAGGTACTAGCTTGCGAGGCTGCCTCAGCCTCAGCCCATTTGTGGCATGCCTACATGCTGCAGCCTTAACAGCCAGCGGAGTTAGCCTCTCCGCACAGGCCCAGGACGCGCTTTGCCTTAGCCGCCTAACCCGTCACCAGCCTCGGCCTCAGCCTTCTGTGGTCTTCTGGTTGCCAAAACCACCTCAGGTGGCAAAGCCGCGGGTCCGCAAAGCCGGGCCCTCGCGGCCTCAGACCTGCCTCGGGTCGCCCTGCAGCCCAGGTTCGTCGTCTACTTGCTGTTCTGAGCCCTCGTCTCACACTGAGACTCTTTTCACCGATGCCTCGGCCTCAACCAGCCTCTGGGGGAGGCCTCCTAGTGGCCCTAGCCCGAGCGCCACTGCTCGAGCCAGCGTACATGGCTACAGCTCTCAGGAGCCCAGGTATTGGCCACAGACTAAGTTTCACTTCTTGTCACAAGCCTAGCCTACGGGGGGTTTCTTTTGCAGGCCTCGGCTAGCCTATAGCCGGGCCTCCCTCCTGGGGCTAGCCTCGAGCCTCTACAGATGCGCCTCTACAGATGCAACACGGAAAACGAGTGCGAGGTCATGTGCTAGAGCAGTGCAAGCCTAACTGAACTCAACAAAACACAACCAATGTCAGGATTGCGAAGCGCATCAAAGGCAATTTTGGATGCAACAGGAGGTTGCCAAAAAGTGAACTTCACATCAACCCACTCGGAGTGGCTGCAGCTCTGATCCGAGGCAAGCAGGAAAGACCTCGAAGCCTGCGTAGGCTTGCTCATGTGGGCCACCGCCAGGTTTGACGACCGTATATGGCCTTTATCGCCTATTCAATAGCCCACCGGAAGCCAATTTCTTCCAATTGCGGCCCACACATTTACATGAATGTAGACAGACCTTCTTCTTGGCAGCATCGGTTTGTTAAGTTTCGCACAACGTACAACCGAGAACATGGAAATCAAAGCCCTGGTGTCGACAAGCACAGCACGAATTGTGGTCGATTGCAAAAACGACCCCAAAGGTCACTCTTACCAAAGCCAGTCATTGACCGGTGTGCACCTGTCTTCAAGACATAATCGAGCAGTCGACTCCGATGAAGAGCTGATGTTCAAGCTGTCGCAAATATGAGGACAAAATCGTCCCTCTGCAAAATGCGCACTTTCCAGAGAAAAACGCCACGCCATGCATCTGACCAGTATGCACAAACATGTTGTTTCCAGATCGAGCAACACAATGGCGGTTCTGAAAACAGAAAAAGTTACGCACAATTGGTGCACCAATTTCTTGCGCCCTCCATAAGCTTTCAAATCCAGAGTCTCGACGCAGAGAAAGCTGATTTATTCAAAGGCAAAGCACATGATCGCAATGTCAGAGCAAGGTTGCGGCAAAGGTGCTACTGCTTGCATCATGTGGAACAACTGGCCATGCTCGCTTTCCAATGTGCTTTGTTTATGCACCGTCTGCTGTTTGTACAAGTTTTCATGTTGTTTTCCCGGGTGAGATGGTGTCGCCAAGAACAGGGAGAAACCTCAAAATGTGACCTTCAGCATTGCTTCTGCATCGAAACCCACAGAAGACAACATTGCTGAACGTTTAGCCAACTTCGGGGTTGTACAGTAGAAATTCAAAAAGATCGCTTCTATGCAATGTCTGCTCCACGCTGGTATTTGAGGCTGCGACGTCCGGCTGGCGTTTCCTGTTCTGTTTTCGTATCAGCAGATGTTTGGCAATCCAGTTGCAGGTCTTCGGACGATGTGCCTGAGAGCGGCGTCTTTCCTTTTGCCAAGGTGCCCGAACTTTTGATGCAATGCAATGTGGTGGCCAGTGTTGGCCAAGGATTGGCGAAACCCCAACACATCTTGGACAGGCTGAAACGAATTCTGTTTCATGGTCTGCAATCTAGAACTTGAGTATAATCGCATGACAGGTGGCGATAAGGCGGCTTTTCTGATTTGCTATGCCCTGTGACCTTCTCAGCTTTGCAGAAGGGCGGAGTTTTGTCATTGTAAGACATGCAATGTTCTGTTTCCGTGATGGTTTCATTCGAGCCGAGGTTTTGGGTGTTGGTGTGCATCATCGTGCACTTCTGGTGCTGCACTTGCTGGACTTTTTACGGTGCGTGTAGGTCTGCAAGTCTTTTCAGATTCTTGTCGACCAATTCCCAGGTCCAAGATCGTGATTGCTTGTCGGCGTCTGAAGAGCAACATTGGCTTTGGTGCTCGAGCCGCCTGCTCAGTAACTTCCTGGCACCGTTTCAACACTTTCTCGAGTGTCACAAGTCGTACTCCGAGGCACTCCGCATGCGTGATCAGCAGAGGGCGCCACTGGTAGAGGTGTCGCTGACCTTGTAATATGCGAATGACGCAGCCTGTACAGAGGTAGTGTCAACTTCATGCTTCCTGCATGCAGGATGTTTCCGAACTTTGCAGCCAGTCTGACCACCTTGCGATTGGGTCTGGGCCTTGTCCAGCAAGTTGTGTTGCCCAGATTGCTGCGTCATCATTTCAGGCCCACGCCGGCTTATCCTGCAGACAGGACCAGAAAAGCTTGCCACTCAATGTGTTTGTTTCGGCGACCTCTAAATTTCAGTTCATGTTCAGACTCGAGAGCTCTCGCCCTCTGGCACATCCTGCTAACCTTATGGCCTGAACATGAAGGATCTGCGAGGACACAACCTTTGCGTCGCGAGGCCGAACCGACAGAGGAGAGGAAGGGCAGGACGAGCGGCGGGAGGAGGAAGAGGCTCAGCACAAATTTGGGGCCTTATGGCCGGTAAAGCCGAAAGTGCCTGCAACTAATCGCCCAGACACATCCGAACTCCTGCCACACGCGTCAGGTGTCAACGGCCTAAGCCCTAGGTCTTGCATCTGAAATCTGAATGCGGCGGGAAATCCTTCGTCATTGAGTCAAAAACCTCTGTCTGTGATCTCCAAGACAGGCCATCTGCGACTTTAAGCCCTAAGGAAAGATGTCGTTTGCTGTGCATGACATGGCTTCGACGTAGCCGTGTCTCTCGTAGAAGAGGGATTCCGCAGCGCGGCCATGTTTGACTTCGATGAGCTCTCCGGAAGCTTGTATGCGAGATAGTCATTGTTGTACGCCTTCGGAAAAGAGTTGGTTCCTCTTTTTTTCAGGAGAAGAGGAGGCCGAGGAGGCCAAGACCGTCAAGAAAGACGTGACCACAGTGACCACTTCGGCAACTGTCAAACTGGCCTCCCCCAGTCCGCAGGGGACAAAGCTCCAAAACGAAGGTGGACAGGGATTGACAGAGGTTTTGGTACGCCACGCTATACACGGCTGGGAGCTTGCCGTCTCTCTTCCTCGAGATGCATCGTTCGCTCACCTGAAGCGCGCTTTAGCCAAGCGCTTTCTGGAGGACCGCCTTTGAGGCTTTGAGGGAACAAGCCTGTGAAGTTCCCGCCTGTGACAGATGTGACAGCCAGGATGCCGAAGCATCTTTTTCAGGCCAGCTGGTTAAGAAGGAAGGCCAGCCTCGCTGTGTCGGACGCGTGTCGGAACGTGTGGGGAACTGTCGGAATGTTTCGAAGTTGTAGGTGGCAGCTACTGCTCCTACAAAGACAGCATGGCGCTGGGACAGCTCCGGGAAGTGCTGCTCGCTGGGTTCGAGCCAAAGGAAGCACCAAGTCAGGGAGAGAAGTTCCTCTTCGAGGCCCATCCTAGGGTCCTGAAGCCCTCTGATATGCCTCATTCAGCCGGTTATAGCGGCGATCTGTTGCATTCAGGAGATTGACACCGTTCGAGATTCCAAACCGGATCGCTCGCTGGACTCTTTCATTGCATTGCAGAGGGCCTTGCGATCAGGATTCGCTGAAGCCAAGTTCCAGGACACGATGATGAAGCAGTGACGAGATCAGGTAAATCAAGTGAAGCCGAAACTAATTAGTACAAGCTGATGCAAACGTCAAACATGTGTGATGGGGTTGGAAGAATAGCGATTGTATGGAGTCCAAGGGATCTGTTGTTGCCTCAGGAGCAACTGTACCAGTTGAAGGAGCAGTGTGAGAAGGGCGAGCTTAAGAAGACAAAGTTCTTGGAGCAGAGGTGGGGAATTAGTTGCGTGAAGTCTGTTACCTTGCATTCACGACATGCTTCCGTAGGCAACAGCTCTTCCTCACCGTTCAGAGCGAAGTGTTGCCAAAGTTTGGATACGAAGGGACATCGCTTGGCGTGTACAAAATGATGGGCGACATGAAGCCCTACGTCCAGGCCCCCTGCTGGTCTCGCAAGATGTCTTGCCTCAATGGTAATCCAAAGCACATGATTGTCTTGGGAGGAGCCCGACTTTGTTGTCCTGGCTGACGAGATCAATGCACTGCTGGGCATTGATTACTCACCGCCGGACACGTGGACTGCGCTTTCAGACAGCTGCCAGAAACTAAACGACGAGAAGGACGGACAAGATGACACAAAGGGTTTACTGCTACTCGCATGCTGTCGCATGCTCGATCTCCGCAGGACGTGCGACGATTTGCTCCAGAAGCGCGTCGACCGAAGCAAGACCAGCGCAGACACGAGTTCAGGCCGCATCTCGGATTGTGCTTGCACGAGTTCCGTTTGCACCCAGCAGGCCACCGCTGGGTCTTCTTGGTCCTGTGGGTGTTCCCAGCCTGATGAGTGGAAAGCCCTTGCGGCTTCCGGATTCCATCCTTCAAGGTCCGCCCTAGATACGACCATTGGCCACCAACCACCGCGAGGAACCACAAGGACATGTGAACGAGCTTTCCAACACGGGACGTCCAGAAGGCGGCTGCTTCATCCGCCGCTTGCTGAGTGCCTTGACCCGCCGGAGCGGAGGATGCCAGTGCGCCCAGAAAACAGAGAGTTGATGGCCCATGTTCCTTTGGTTCTGACGACTCTCAGATTCAGTTCTTTGAAGATGTAGCTGCTAGCTGTAGGGTTGTACACTCTTGGGGAAGCGCAGGAGAGTCATCGAGCTTTTCGAGGAGCAGGCAAAGGCAGGACGAGCGGATCAGTTTCTTCCCTTCATGCCCCCATGCTGAGTCGGCACCGGTAACCTGCTCTCCAATAGACGCAGAAAGCATCCCGTGCACACGAGCATTTCCCCGCAGAGGCACGCCCTGCTGCTACAGCTCTGATCGCAGAGTCCTTGGAGTGCGACTATCGGATGCATCGAAGCTCCCGACCTGGACTGGGCTTAAGGTCCCTTCGGCAGGCCGATCCTCCAAGGACCGGAGCCGATCGGAGACCGGCGCATCATGATGCACCGGATAGACTGCGGCTGCATGTGAATCCTCCGAGCTCCTCAGATCAAGCTGCCACGGAGCTTCCTGAGAGGAGATCACGTACAAAGAAATGGCTGCGTGTGTGGACGAGGAGACTGCACGGCTCAGCAACTTTCATTCCAGAGGGCGCATCGCATGGCAGCAGGTAGCAGACACGCTCCTGTCACTGGGAATCTCGTGCGGATCAGCCATTGTCCCAGCAGCGCCGCAGTCGACCCATCGGTGTTCCTGAGAGTGGCCGCGTGAGGTGGTTGCGCTGGTCATGGACCGGAGTGTGGCACAGGTTGTGGCAGTGTATGGCACTTTGAAGGCGGGTCGATGGCAGTGGTAAAATGTGTCTCTGTGTGTGTGTCATCCCTGTAACACAGGGCTACTAAACTGCAACCATGGCAGATTTCCGAGTGCAGAAGCAGGTCATCCTAGCCATTCCAACGAAGCTACGGATGTTGACTTGATGGGTTCACAGACGCGTGAGCCTGTACCTGCACGAGAAACTGGCATGGGTGGTTGATATGTCTCAGCTTGCAGTTTCGAGCTCCTTGTTTCAATTCGGTCGCTGCGGAGGTGCTTCGTTTGCGAGGCAGCTTGAAATGACAGCTGTGCAGTGGATGTTAGGCCTTGAGACCCGTGGCAGATGCAGCAGATCAGCAAATCTAGACATACTTCGGAAGTGAGACAAGAAAAGAGAGCCACATCATCGACGACATCTCAGATCAAGAGTTCTGATACAAGTGCGTGCGCACGCGCGCGTGTCTGCGCGCTCGTGTGCTCGCGCGCGCGCAGGTGTGTGCGTCCTGTGTGTGTGATTGACATTGATATGCAGGCGGGTGCGGCATTTCTGCCCGTGGACAACGCAATGAACTCAGACAGCCTCGGAAAAGCCAAGAGCCGCCGCGTGCGTGCGTGAGTGAGTGTGTGTGTGTGTGTGTGTGTGTGCTTTTTCGGTTCCGTGCACGAGGATGCCCCGCTGGCGCGCAAGCAGTTTCTGCTTCATGAAAGTGAAGCAGCAGCAATGATTGCGGTCTCAGGTGTGGAAATCCTTTCGGTGAGTGGGTCAGTGAGTGTTTCTGCTTCTCGAAGGCGATGAAGTAGCTCGTGAGCTCGCCACAGAGGCTCCAACTCTGCTTCCTTCCGACACACAGCGCAGCCGTGGTGCCTCAGGCCTTAGGCCCTGTGGCCCTGTGCCACAGCCCATGACCTGTCCAGATTGGCTGCAACTTCATTGCATTGCCTGCGGATGGTTCGCGTTCTGGGCTGCAGCTGTTGCATCTCAGCTTGAAGAAGCTAGCGATGATCTCGTTGCTTCTGATGCCCAGTGATCAGAAGCTTCAGCAATTCGTTGAAATCGGTGCGAAACCTCTGAGGTGTAGACTGGTTCCGATTAACATCGTGCCGAATGTTGCTGATTGAACTGATGTAACGAGTCGGCCGAAGTGAGCTCCGATGAATCGAAAACCTCGTCTCAGTCTGCCACGGCTTTGAGATTCGCTTCGCCAAGGCGCAGACAGCGGTCACGTGCCCATTCCTTCGCGTCCGACGGCGAGCCTGGAACTGGCTGAGACCTCGGGAGTGTGATCGCTGGCAGCTGGCCACGTGTCCTCTTTGCTCTGAAGACCGCCGAGGCCCAAGCGGCTATGCGGGTGGGTATCGTCGTCCCGAGGCCCGACATGCAAGCGGGTTTGGGGGCGCTCAACAATCCACTTTCTGGAGAACCTGTGCAGGTTGTAACAAACGATGTGTAAGTCCTTGAGCCTATGTTTGTTCCAGTGTGGGCCTGTCCTTTTGAACAGCTCGCTGCAGGCATCCGACATGGCCCTTCTGATTTACACGTCCGGTACAACAGGTGCTCCGAAGGTGCCGCTTCATATTCCTGAAGGGCTACTGATTTAACAGTTCCCGCTTCCGGAAGGGTATCGTTTATGATCACGAGCACCTCATGCATGGTGTGTATTTCTTTGGGAGCCAGTGCTTGTTGCTCAGCTTTCCTCGGGGGCCACCAAGTGTGACCGTGCAGCGTGATTGTGCTAAGGTCAAGTGGATTCGACGTCAGTTGCGATGTTAAAGTCTCCGTGAGACACCGGGATTTTTTTTGCCAGAGTCACAACCCAAGTTTTCTGTTTGGCTCATGCTTTCTGTGCAACATTCGAAGGTATTTCTGGGCAATCATTGACTCTTGAATGCAAAAAGCTATTGGTGGTCCAGCTAGACAAGGAGAACTCCAAGATGTATGCCATGTCAGGAGTGGGAGATGTTTCCGGCGCTGACGCAAGGCATCACACGACTGCAAGCGCTACTCACGGGGTCGCCGGGCCGTGTTTGACCGTGGCAGGCGGAAAGCTGGTGGTAGCTTCAGCAAATGGACACAAGAGCCCCGTCCTCGGATATCTCTGGTTTCAAGAGGCAATGTGGCGATTTAAAGTGTGTCAGCAACGAGGTCCTGAATATCTGGCCAACACTATTGCAGCCGAGGAGGCGCACGGCGCTCTCAAGCTGACCGTTGTACACGTCTACACGTTGAATCCTTCAATGAACCTTGAACATGGTTGTGACAAGTAGCTGCCGATGCAAAACCTGCAGAGATCCGCTTGGCACAGATCTACCGGCCATACCGCATTAGTTTTGGAGCAATATTTCTTGCGCACGGTCCCATGGACCCAACGGGTGCTACATGATCGCAGGGGTGCCACCACAGCAGACCCGAGTTTGAGAAAGATCCCCTCCCAGCAGAGAGCGAAAGCTCCGACATCAACCAACCCTCAACTTTCCACCACCCTCCAGAAAGGTACGCTGCGGGGCCCTGCGTTTTGCTGCACATTGTTTTTCCCTTACAGTCGTATTACGTGCATGTGTAGTCCTCCGACTGATACACGATTCGCAGGTTCATTCAATGAGTAAAGGTCCAACGAAATATCCTGGATCAGAGCGTGACGGGTGCGGAAAGGAAATGAAGAGACATGGAGTGGGAACAACAACCACAAATTGACCAAAACGATATATTATGCCATTATGCTTTAGTCTTTTTTGCCGCTCCCCTCCCCCTCCAGATCCCGTCACCTCTTTTCTCCTTCTTATCTGCCCGCAGATCACGCATGTCTCGAATTTTTTTCTCTGCTTCGCAGTATTCCAGAAGTCATTAGATCATACTGGATCTTTATTGGTCTGTTAAGAACAGCAATGTTGATTCAGTAGATATACGTATATATATATATATATATACATACATACATACATGAGCCCGATGCCTTCAGGGTCTATTTCATAAGGGTTTGTCTCTTCGTTTGCGGTCATGACGGCTTCTTAAAGTTTTCAAAGTGCAGGTGGCTTCTCTGTTTCTTTGATTTCGGGTTTTGATACCTATCAGTTTTCGGGTTTGGCGATTGAAAGGTGTAGGCCGAGGTTCCGAGCTTGCTTTCCATGACATGCATTCAAGTTGAAAATGCTTCCGGTGTGTTGAAAGTCACATGATTGAGCACATCGTGCCGGAAAACCATCAGTCTCTTTCGGGTTTAACTGAGGTACGTTATGATTCTGGTTTTTGGGGCTCAGTTGTCGTCTTCTAGCCATCATTGTCTTGGGAGCTAGTGTTTGTGATTCATGCGATTAAAGTTTAAGGTTCAAACCGGTTGTGCACCCTGTATTCTTGGGAAAAGGGTTTGCAGCTCGTTGGAATCGGGATCAGGCAGTTTTTTGGAAACTTTTAGGGTTTAGCGCCCTTTTGTCTTTGGTTTTGCTCCCATTACCTCCTCTTAAAATTGCTTCTTGGGTGCAGTTGGCTTTTCTGTCGCGTCTTTGAGTTGCGAGTTTTACTAATCATTTTTTCAAGTTTCGACATTGAGATTGAAGGTTTCACAGGCTGTAGGTCAAGGTTCCGAATGTTCGGGTTGTTTCATATTCGTTTCACGTCTGTTTTTATCACCTTTTACGGCCTTCGCGTGCTTGCAGCATAGATATGCTTGCGCTCCTGCGCGAAATCCAGTGAGGTTGTCCGTCTGGTAACCAGCATTCTTTGTCGAGTTTAACTATGGTGGTTTCGGGGCTCAGCTGTGGTCTGCCAGCCATAGTTGTCTTGGCAGGTAGGGTTGGTGAGGAACGTTTAGAGTTTAGGGCTTATGCACCATGTGTTTTTGGGAAAGGGCTTGTGTTAAAAGTTTATACCATAGACTTTAGATTATTTACTGTATATTGTATTTCGTATAGTTAGCAGTATCATTGTAAAGCTCTTATCGTTATTGCTATTGTTATGGGTGTTACCGCTATTACAAACTATATGAACATACATAAATGTATACTTGGTTTATATATATGTATATACATTATGCATATAATGACATGTTGTATATTATGTATTATATATGAATTAATATATATATATATATACATATATATACATTATATATATATATGTTCACATTACAAATATTTATATATGTATATGTATATATATATAAGATGCTATGTGTTATATACTTTATATTATGTGTTCTGTATAATGTACTTTGTCTTGTATATTATATGTTGTACATTACATATTCCATATAGCATATTATGTATTATTTTATATATTGCTATAAATTATAAAGCACAGAATTTCAATTATATTTTATATTATATGTATATATATATAGTACATATTGCATAATATATATTACATACTACATATTATATATTTTCACTTTTTTTTTGTTATATTTTTTATACTTTATTTTGTATATATGATATATCTTATACTATATACTGTATATTTTGTATTATATATTATATATCATATATTTTATATTTTAATTTATGTATTACATATTACATATTTTACATTTCATATTGTATATATATATATATGTGAGCTATAATACTCTGTATTGGCCGTTTTTCTACTATATATTATATGTTGTATGTTATATGTTGTTTTTTGTACACTTTGCATTTTACATTATACTGTATGTTTTGCGTTATATGCTATATATTGTATGGTATACATATACAAATTCATACATTAAATGCTGTACCTTAGAATGTATTGTACGGTATTTGACTACTCTATTTTACCGTTTACACTGTTTTGGGAGCTGGGTGTTTGTGATTAAAGGCTACAATTTAGATGTGTGCTTTTTGAGACAGGGCTCGCTGCTCGTTGGAATCATTTTTGTGGATGAGGGTTTTCACCACAAGTTTTGGAAGGTTTTTTGCCTTGTTTCCTCTCGGTTTGCTGCCATCACGGCCTCTCAAAATTGTAGCTACGGTGCGGGTGGCTTTTCTATCATTTCCTTGAAGTTTCGGCTTTTGTTATCCATCATTTTTCAGGTTTAACGATTGATATTGAATTTCTCCCAAGCTGTAGATCAAGGTTCCGGATTTGAAATTCAACTGCAAGGGTTTGTTCATTTTCGTTTCTCGTCTGTTTTTTTACCACACTTAGCCCGCCCATGACATGATTTCATGTTCAGAATGATTGCGGTGTGCTGAAGGTTTCGGCACATCGTATCTGAATTCCAGTGAGGCTGTCCGTCTGGTAGCCGTTCCGGTATGCTGTGGTTGTGCTTGTGGGCAACTTGTGGGGCAGAGCCGTTGTCTGCTAGCCATCATCGTCTTGGGAGCTAGGGTATGTGATTAATGTTTAGAGTTTAGGGGTTATGCGTGTGTTTCTTTGGGAAAAGAAATCTCAATCGCGAAACTTGACACATGATGAGTAACAAAATTCGCAACTCAAAGACATCTCCGCAAAGCCAACTGCACCCTAGAAACAGTTTTAAGAGGCCGTAATGACAGAAAGCCCAAAGACAAAACGGCGTTAAACCTTACAAAAAACTAATTGCGAAGCCCTCATCCCCAAACCGACACCAACGAGCTGCAATCCCCTTTCGCAAGAACACAGGGTGCACAACTGGTGCGAAATTTAAACATGAATCACAAACATCAGCTCCCAAGACAAGGATGGCTAGAAAAACTGAGCCCCAAAAACCACAATCATAACGCGCCATGGTTAAACCCGCAAGGGAGTGATGGTTACCGGACGGACAACCTCGCTGGATTTCGGGCACGATGTGCCGAATCCTGTGACCTTCAGGACACCGCAAGCAGTTTAACCTACGATGAGCAGCACAAACAGATTAAAACAGACACGAAACGAAGATGAAAGAACCCTTCAGCTGACCTTCAAGTTCCCTGAGACACATTCATTATTAAACGTGAGACCCGAAAAATGATGAGTAACAAACCCGACATGCAGAAACATGACAGAAGACACAATGTTTTGCCTGCCTTCGCGTGCTTTCAAGATAAAAATGCTTGCGGTGTTTCCGAAGGTCACAGGATTCGGCACATAGTGCCCGAAATCCAGTGAGGTTGTCCGTTTGGTAACCATCATTCTCTGTCGGGTTTAACTAGGGTGTGTTATGAGTGTGGCTTCGGCGTTCAGCTGTTGTCTGCCAGCCAAAGATGTCTCGGGAGCTAGGGTTTGTGATGAAGGCTTAGACTTTGTAACGGGTTGTGCCCCAAGTGTTTTTGGGGAGAGGCTTGCTGCTCGTTGGGGTCAGTCTCTGGAGCTTTAGGGTTTAATGTCCTTGCAGGAGACGTACATACAAATTGACATGCATCGGCCATGACTAATGCTATCTAAACGTTTAAAATCTGACACATGCAACAGACATGGCTGAAATCTGTATTATATAACGGTATGCATCTTTGGATTTCAATGATGGCAGACTCTACACTGTTTTGTGCGGAAACATGTATTCATGTATTGTCAGTTGCTACAAAGATGAGTAGCATGTCAATGTCCCGTATAACTATGGCATGAGAAACACCCATTCAACATGACTCGTTTTCGAGCTGAGTGCACTTACAAGCGTGACACTGCCCCCTCTATTCAAAAGTCATTCTGCCGGCCCCCAGAAAGAGGGAGTGATGCTTTTCTAAAGGCTTCGGGTTTGTTGACCGTTTCGGGCCATTTGATGTTTCGGCCCTGCGGCGGCAACCATGGCAAGCCTTTCGGAGATGATGCTGGGCATGTCTGCTTTCTGCCAGGTCAGCGTCTTCATGGTTACCCCACAGGCCGTTCGCACCCTCGATTCATCGGAAGCCCGGCTCAGTGAGTGCATGTCGAAGGTTCTAGACCTTGTCCTGGACGTACATGATTCTCAAGGAAATGCAAGGCCGCTACGTTCAGTGTGGGTCTCATTTGCTCAGAATTTCATGGTGCTGCATTCATGTGAGTCATCAGCATTGATGTAGCTTGCCGCGAGTGGTGGTTGCGACCCTCAGGGTCTACGGTAGCTGGTCGACAAGCTGGGATCTTCATTCCAGCAAGTCTGCAGCCTTTATGGCTCCAGATCTCCTGCCCACTAGGCCCTGCTGCAATGGTTCAGGAGGATGTCCAGGCCAGCGAGTGTGAGCTGATCACGAGCAAGTCCGAAACTGAGCCTTTTTGCTTCGAGTTTTGGTATGAGCCGCAAGACACCCGAAAGCCTAGGCCGATTCTCGCGGGCTTTGACCTCCTCCTGAAGAGACCTCTCTGCAGCGCCTGCCTGCTTACTCACGCATTCTTCATCTCTATTTGGACATCCGCATCCTATTCCGCTGCTAGGCAGAACATGCAAAGCTCTAGGCTACTGATTCCCTCGAGCTCCGGCCGTCGTTTGGCCCCAGCATCCAAGGCCTTGAAGGTCCAGCCTCTCCACCTGGAGCCATACAACACCAGGCCCGTACGGATATCATCTAAATGTGCAGTCATGTCAGCCAGTAGAAGCTTCCTGGCTCTGATGGGAGGCTGAAGAGTGCTGCGCTGTCCTTGCGGGGCGATTTCGGAGAGTATGCTGAAGGTATGCTGTCCGATGCCATTTTGATATGGAGTCTTGATTCACAACTTCAGAGACACCACAACTATTCGGACTTGACCCAAGCTGTTGAGAAGGAGCTGAAGCAGTTGCAGAAGACAGATGTATGTCACAAAATGGAATGGAAGCCTGCGAAGCTTGCAAAGAGCGAAGATGCTGCTGTTCTGCGGCTCGACCTGCATTCTAAAGCTTCTATCGGACACCGGAACCCATGCTTGTACAGAATCCGTGAGTACGTCCAAACAGTGGACCGCAGATTTGGCAAACTCAATGTAGCGATGGCCGGCCCGCATTCAGTGGTCGATGCTTCCTATGCGCAATGCGACAGCGAGACTCTCTTTCATCTTACCCTGAGCACCCCGCTTCTGGTACTGCTACTGATTGTCGGTGTTGGTACGCTGCCACGTGCCATTACACCGTGCTTCTGCCTTCTTGGCAGTGTTCCGGCCTCGCGCAGCCTCGTCGTACTGGTCAAGGCGCTTTGGCCAGATTTGAATATGGTCGGACCTGACACTCAGATTCTTTTCGTGCAGTTGGCCCTTGCCTTCGACTATGCTCTGTTCTTCTGGGTGCGCTTCTCACAGGAGCGTCGATCGCGTACAGCAGCAGAGGTGGATGTCGTGCTCATGAAAACACTGCAGACCTCAGGCTTTGTCATTCTCCTCAGCACTTCTATTCTTGTGATTACATTCCTTGGTGCAAGCTGCTACCCTGACTTGAACAAGCTAGGCTACCTGTATGCAACCTTGAACTTGGCATTCGGAAGCCTGTTTGTTGGGTTGTACAGCATCGCGGTGCCACCGGTTTTGGTATCCATATTTCCATCAATGTTCGACGAGCCGCATGAGAGCAATATCTTGTCGGCTTGGATGCAACGAGGATCGAAAGTGGTTCAGCATGGTTTCTTCAGGCCCGTAGCAGACGTGATCACATGCAGACCCTGGAACTATGTGGCGCCGTTTCTTGTCTTAGCATGCTGCAGTCCCCTAATGGTGCACATGTGGCATCTTCGTGCAAATTTTGATGTGACTCTCACCGACTTTTCTACATCTGTCCCCGAGTATCATGCTTATGACTTGGTTCGGAAAAAATTCGATAACCGAGAGGGGAGCCAGATGACGCTGTTGATGACTTCTTCCAAATTACTCGCAAACTCTTCGGACCTTGTGAATACGAGCGATTGGACGCGAAGCAAACCATTTCAGGAAGCAGCGTGTCACGTTGCGAGAACGGTGCTAAACGACGACAAGTGCCAATCTGCGAATGTGGATAGACACGAGATGGTTGGATACTGGTGGGACTCTCTGACCGGGTCCTGCGTACACAACCCGAACTGGCACGAGAAGTTCATTTCCGATGACGGTGTTTCCCAGAGAATGTTTATGTTCCCGGACATCGACAACCTGCAAGGAGCGGAAGCTCAACATTTGATTCGTCACTTTTGGGAAGTTATCGAACCCAAGGTGTCGATTCAGAATGGGCACGGAGAAACCCTCTTCTCTTTGCATCTTTACACTCCGGTTGCCGAAAATATGCTGCTGGAAGCTCAGTACAGGCAGTCTGCCCCTTGGATCCTGGGCATCACCCTGGCCATTGTGTGCTGCATTGTGACTGCTTTGTTCCAGTCCGCTTTCGTTGGAATCAAGATGGTCCGCGGCTTGGTCGGGCGCGATGGCAGTCAGCCATGGATGTCACTGTGCAAGGGCCCAGGTGACCAGGTTCCGTCATGTGCACCCGAAGCCAAGCCTTGATCTGCTCTGAACTTTGTGAGGGACTCGCAACCGGTTCGAGCAGATTTCTGGGCAGTGTCGGGTTGTCTTTCGTGCAAGTTGCTTGCAGGACGATTGTAAATAAACAAGACTTGGTTTTAAGACCACGAAATTGAAAGTCTAAGAGCCATGCCAGCTGAAGGTGCGTTTGATCCTACTTCTCGCTGCCAGGTAGTAAAGGTAACAGCAAGGTGCATCAAACCAGGCCAGTGCACAGGTGCAACAAGGACAATGAACACAGCAGCGCGCTGGGGAACCCGTGCATGTAGATCTTCAGCAAATTATCAAACAAGCCTGGAGACTTGTAGCTGGCATCGATAGAAATCATAGCATACCGCGGCCTGTGCTGAAATGAATTGAATAAACCACTTGAGCTGACCTGAAACTCGGCTCCGTTTCATCACGCAAGGTCTTCACGATTGCGCTGCCGATCGTGGCCGAGTACGGCTTTGCTGTCGGTGTTTTTCAAGATGGATGGCTTGCCTGGGCTGGCGTTGATGCCACAGGTGGCTTGAAGTGGACGATGGTTCACAGCACTTGCGGCTTCCTCTTTGCTCTCGCGATGGACTACGACCTCTTCCTCTTCGCGCGGGTCTACGAACGCCGACAGCAGGGCTACGACAACGCCTCGGCCGTCCGCCTCAGCCTGGAAGAGACCGGGCCTCTCATTACCCTGGCAGGGACAATCATGGTGATCTCCTTTGCCTTTGTCCTCCTGTCCTCCGTGCCGGTGATTGCGCAGATGGGTCACTGCCTCAGACGTGTTTTTTTGCATCTGAGCCCAAAAAAGCAAGCTGTACGAAGTGGCTCTGAGGTTGTTTGTACTGCTTCGGGGTGGCTTTTGATGTCTACGTCGTCCGCATCTTCCTGGCACCCGCGGCACTTTGCATCTTTGAGAACATGAACTACTGGCCGGGGAAGGTGCCTAAGCCTTTCATCTGCCCCTTGGACCTGGGAAAGATCATGTCATGGCCCCCTTTCGTGTTGCGGGGTGATGGCATGGAATTGAGCTTGTTGGCGGTCATAATGATTGTTGGTCTGCTGGGGGTAGTTTCTCGTCGGCGACGGGGCATCAAACAGTGTTCCCTTCTTCTTGCATGTTGACGAAGGTTATCCTGACAAGCGGGACATGATCACAGAGGCGAAGAACTATGGGACCTGTGATTGAACTGACAGAGCTGTTCCCGGTAAGAGACCGGGACATGTTTGTGACCAGCTTGGGCATGCTGAAAGCATGTGTCACCCGTGGAACGGGTTCAAGAAAAGTGACGGCTGCGCACTGACGTGGGAGATCTGGCATGCAAGTTCGCTCAAGGTGAAGCACATTGTGACCGTCGGCGAGCCATTGGGATGTGCAGTCGCCAATCGTAACTTGCCTAAAAAAGGTTGCCCAGCTTTGGCTTCGTGTATAGTCTCGGCCGTGACTGGACAGGTCTTGTGCGCACCAGAGGTGTGGAGGCTGCCAGTTGAGCACTAAGAGAGAACATCCAATGCTCACTGCACTGCAAGGTTCGTTTTCTCCCTGTGTGCAGGCGCAGCTCCACAATTTCTACGGAGCATCTGAGAGTTCTTGCACTGTGTAGCCTACATGTCTTGATTTCTGACCATGCTGCTTGAGCGTCGCTTTTTGTGTGTGTGTGTGTGTGCATGTGTCTGTGCATCTGTGAGTGCTTGTGCCATGGCAGGTGTACACCGTACCCAAAGAAGGCATCGACCTGGACATCTTTCCATCCAAGGTACTGTGTCTGTCGAAATGGTATGTACTGGGTCCTGGCGTAGCCGAACGACTCTTGGCTGGAGGCCCCATGCGGTCGGCCACAGCCGCATGCAAAAGTCTTCGTGATGAGAGAAGAAGCTCAGGCCCATCTGCTGGTAGACTGGAAGTTCCTGCATTGTGCAGTCGGTTTGGTGTGCCTCGTGATGCCGCCTGCACCATGTAGGAATCTGGACCTCCTGTTCTGGTGCAAGTTCCAGGTGGTGAGGCAGATCAAGGGCGGCAGCATCAGCAGAGCCTTGACTTTCAGACCTCTGTCCTCGAACTGTTGCAACCCAACATCCTAGAGGCAGGCGAGATTTGCTTTGGTGGCGTTCTGGCAGCATGCTGCGGCCTCGGCAGTTGCAAGAGCAGGATTATGCCTTGTACTGGGTGAGTGTCCGGTCGAGCTGTCACGATGTGCACAGTAAGCTTTAGGCCAACGGCACTCTTCTGGAGTTTTGCAGGCGTGTCTCAATGCCAGGTGTGGGTTTGCCTTGCACTGCCTTGCTTGTGTATTCGATTTACACGTGCTCCTAAGTGCACCGCCCAGCGATGCATCGCTTAGCATGTTGGGAATCGAGGCTATTGGAAGCATGACGAGCTGACAGCCCAGAAGTGGATTGACACGAAGGACGATGTCTTGCTCATGTCGTTGGGTAGATTGTTCCACTATGGGTCCAGGCTGTCGTGAGGCTGTAGGGAGAGGGCCCGGCTTTCTGCGCCGGCTTTTTGCAGGACCTCGGCAGACTGTACCGAACTGGAGACATGGGCCGCTGGAGAGCCGGGCAGCTGGAGGCAGAGCCTACGAGGGCTGTTGGAGCGGAGATCTTCACCGGAGCTTTTCAGGTGATTGGCCGCGTTGACCGACAGGCCTGGGCAGACCAACCCCGCATCACTTGTCCTCCCCAGGGTCCAAGAGCCAGGTGAAAATCCGGGGAGTTCGTGTTGAGCCCGAAGAGGTCGAAGCAGTCCTCAGAAGGCGAGAAGAGTCGGCGAGATATCAAAAAACTGGGTCGAAGCTTTCGAAGCTGCTTTCAGGTATCACTATGCGACCAGCGAGGAGATTCTAGATTCTGGTGAGTCTGGTGAGATTCGCAATTCCGGCCGTGGCTTCCTGAGTCTGTGCAGGACGCTGGGCCATCTGGCCTTGAGCTAGGCGGTCCACGACCAGGGCTCAAAGAGGCCAGGCCAGAGCCCAGCCGTCCGCCGTGACTCGGGCCGAGTGCTCTCTCAGGTCGCAGTGGTGGCTTCGAAGGAGCCTGCTGAACTGGTAGCTTTCGTCAGCCTCCGCGAAGGCGCAGAGCTACATCGGTGAGCGCTCAGCAGAGCAAAGCTTTCTTCGCATGTGTCTGCTAGGCTTGGATGGAGCTGTGACTCCAGACACCCTGCGGGCTCATTGTCAGGCGTGGCATATGCAAAGTTGCCACAGCTCATTTCAAGAAAGAAGCGCATGTCGGTTGTGTGTGCCTGTTGGTCCTTGCCTTGCTTCAGCCGCCCCGTCTCTGAGCCTGCGGCGCAATGGCGGGCAGACGAGTGCATGCAGATTCCGGCAGATTCAATGCCTACGGCGCTGCGGCATCTGCCCGACAAAGCCTGAGGAGAAAACGGTATGCCATAAGGCCCTAGATTCAATTCTTCGGACTGTCGCAGATGCGCGAATTGTTTTCTTGAGCATGTGTTGCGAGTGCTGAACGGAAGTTGGTGTCGTGTCTGCCTGTTGCCTGTGAGGACACCATGCACTCCGTGACTCGGTCGCCGCAGGACGTGTCAAAACCGTTTTTCATGCCGTCTGGGACGCCAGTGCGGAGCATCCGAGGCCACCGGCCCCACGTCGCCACAGCCAGCCTGGCCCGCCACGAAGCAAAGGATGTCCTTCATCCCCTTTGCAGGCAGCTGCCGTCGCTCCAAGGCCTGGCCCAGCCAGGCTCAGGCGCGAAGGCGAAGGAAGAGCCCGCAGAGAAGCCCGTCCGCATCCGGGAACCTCAAGCAAAGCTACTGCCGTGGCCGTGGAGCCCAAAGAGTCAGAGACAGCCGCTCGCACATCTCGACCGCCTCCCGCGCCTCTGCAAAGGCCACCGCTCACGCAGCGATTGCAGGACCAGTGCCATTGGATCGAGCTTACATCTTTGCCAGCTGCATGGAGTTCCTCAGCCATTGAGAGAATGTGCAAAAGATATGGTGATATCTTGGGGCTGTATCGAGACGACAAGACGGATGGTCAGTTTCGAGTGGGCTATCCCTTGAGAGAAATAGCAACCACGGCCGTGAAAAGCCTGAATGCCAAATTTGCTGGAAGGGGGGTAGCAGCCACAGCCAAGTTTCTTCCAAGCTCAACGACCCAAAGGCAGAAGGCCTTCGTGGATGAGCTGCTCGCTAGCAACACTCTCAAAGGTTGGGAACCCGAATCGGAAGCAGCTCAACGGCGAGAGCTCTTCCTCTGGAACTTGCCAGATCTCTTGCCCGCCAAATTGTTCTTGTGGTTGCAAGGTGGAAGCAAGCAGGATTTGGATTGCAGGGTCCCTTTTGAGCCGTTCGAGAGCCACGAATGGCTGGGCAAGTGCGGCTGCTCGGACAGATTTGCTGTTCCTCGCTACGCCTTCAATTCCTGCTTTTTTGAGAATGTACGCATTCCTGTTTCCCCGCTTGACTTCAGTTGCGGTCTCCGGTTTCACTCAGCCTGTCTCGCGCTCCACTCCTTTTCTGCCCTCGGATGCTCTCTCGCGCATGCAGTCAAGGGCTCCAAGGCAGTTGCAACAGACCTCTTTGCCTCTTGTGCCAGCCCAGTGACGGGTGTGGTACACTTGCACCCGAGAGGCATGAGGGAGCACGGGGCGAGTGTGGGGGGTGCGGGGGGTTGACCTGTCGCGCATCGTCACATGGCAGTTCACTTTCAGGCTATGTTCGGTTCCAGAAGCATGAGTCTGCGGCCAGGACGCACTGGGTCGCTGCACGCATCATCATGTCATGGTCGAGAGATAGTTTTCGGTGGGGCCTTGACGCTCCATCTTGAACCGCAGGATGTTGCTGGAAATACCGCTTCTTGCCAGCAGTTTTGCCGTTCCACCCCAGAGGATCTCGTACGTGCTGAGGCAGAGGCCCGAGAAGTGCCGAGCGGCCTGGTCGTTCTCAGAGCGATTGATTGCCTGGAGAGAAACTGCGTGCTCCAGCTCAACTCGCCCATGACCACTTCGCAACAGAAGCACGGTGCGAAGCTGAGGCAGAGCATCGTCCAGGAAGCAGAGCTGCCTGGCCTAAACAGTCTTTGTTCCAGTGTGCAAGGTGTTAACATGATCTCTGAGGTTGGAGTTGCAATGCCAGTCGCTTCTCGGCTGCGAGCAGCATAAGGGCGCCGCCAGAAAAGCGGCACACAAATGAGTTGCACGTTGCCAGATTACCAGATCGACACGATGGAGTTTTGAGGACTTGCGCATTTTTGTTCCGTCTTGTGTCGAGGCTTCAGCTGCTCGGAGACGGGCTGAAGCAGCGTCTATGCTTCGAATGGAAAGGTGAGCCATGAGCACTGGGGCAGCTTGCGTTCGCTTCTTGCAGTTGGCCTTTCTTCGTGGTCGGCTGCAGGGGCAGCAGCTGATCTTCCAGCAACTCGCTCGGGGCTGAAGGAGAGATGTCTTGCTCCAGCCTGCTGCCTTGAGCTCGCTGCTCCAGAGAGCTCTAACATGCCGTGCCGGCAGGATCGGCTTCAAAGCGCACTGGAAAGTGCCATGGCGAGGCCTTGCGTCCTGGTCCGCGGCCTCGCCAAGAGCTGGACGGAGAGGTGTTGTAGGTAAGGGCAGAGATCGTGAGTGTCTCAGATCTGCAAAAATTGCACCGTGGGTTCGGCAGAGCAAACGAGAAAGGCACACCCCAAATCCAGCCGCATCCAGGAGAACAGCCTGAAAGTCTTATTTGCTTTCTATGGCGGCACGTCAACAGCCCGAGTGCCTGGATACACCGGAGTTTCCTTTTGCATATTGTTCAGGCTGGACAGTTGTTCCGTACTGCATGTGCCGAGCATCAGGTCAACATGGTGCGAAGCGAAACAGAAGTCAGCTGCTACGTGCGACTGGGCTTGGTGTCGCATTTTCGTCGCTTTTGAAATTCTTTTGCGTGCGACGGTCTCATGCCGCGAGCTATAGGCAGTTGAAGGATGCAGCGAATTCCGAAAAGTTTGTTGCAGCTTGGCATGGTTTGAACTCCATGGCTGGCTGTTCGATGGGAGCATGTCTTCCAGAGTGTGGCAGGGCAGCAGGACTGTAAGACAACTCTTGACCAAGGTACAGTGGGATGGAAAGCACGTGGGTGATGATGAGTCCGGTTTGGAGCGCTGTCAGATCTCTTGCCAGATAGTTTCCGGACGAACAGAGGGCCCGTGGTGGTGGTGGTCGGTCGCTTCTTTTGTCTCTGGCTCGTGTTGTTTGTTCATGAGGTTCCTTCGACCCAGATGCCACCTCCACAGGCAGTGTTCTTCTCTTGCCTTCGGGGAATGTCGTTCGAAGTCTAGAGTCTACAGGAAAGATGGATACGTAGAAGTGCTGGAGGCATCCTCGCAAACAAGCGAACCTGGAACGCGCACCAAGGCGAAAGAGGAAGGTGCCATCTCGTTCAAAGCGTGCTTCGCTTCGTGATGCTGCGCTTCCATCGTTTGGAAATTCCAGAGACTCGCAGGTGTGCTCGAGTGCGAGTGCGAACTTAGCCCAGCAAAGACGAGCACACGGACAACGCGGCAGGTTGGAAGTCTTTGCAGTCTCTCTCATCAGGCAGACGCTGGCACTCCTCAACTGTGGCTTAGGTATCTTCGAAGCAGAAGCGGGAGGTCTTCACCGCAGCCTGGCAAATTCGGTATTGGTGTAGTTGGGCACTTCCATGCCCGAGCATAATCGAGCATATGCATGTCATTCTCTGCTCAGGGCCAGCCGAGACCCGCTTCGAAGCAGGACGCTTGCCAGCGTCATCTGTCGTTCGAACTTTCCTCGAGGCAACCTCCACCTGCGACCCTAAACATGGTGCCTGTTGAAGGAGAACCTCCCGGCACGACATGCTGGAGGTCCTAAGCCGACAATGAACAATGTGACTCGACTGCAGAAGCACCTTCTTTCGGATTTAGAACGGCGGAATGGAGCTGTACATGTATGACTCATGATGTTTGCCTTGCCCCGCTCCAAGCACATGTGGCTGAGGGTTCTGCAATGCCACAAAGTGGAAGCAGAAGCAGCAAAGCACTGCTTCATTTCCCGGTGTCTTGCCTATAGCTTGAGCAGTTTTCCTCGTCCCATAGCTTGACCTCGACTGACTGTGACTTGCATTAGCCACGGAGGCTCTCAACTTCAAGCTGCGCTGACGCTGCCAAGGATAGCACCCGGACGCCACAGACACCACGACATGCCAAACGAGGCCGCGTCGAGGCCGTCCCCTGCGCAGAACCCCCCTAAACCTGTTGTCCCAATCACCCCTAGCCCGTGGTAGGCACCACGACCGGCATCTGAAGCTACTCCAGCGGCTGCTCGCCGGGCGATGATGCAAACTCAATCAGCTGCTCTCCGGAAGATGGTGCAGGCGGCGAGTTCAAGATCACAACAGGTTCAGCTATGGCGGCTGAAGCTTCAAGCACGTTGATCTCGACCATCCTGCTGTCTAACGAAAACACCTCATTGAGTTGAGCATGGGGCAGGAGCGCCGGCAATGCACGGTGGCTTTTGAAGATCTCGGCTCTCAGCCGGTACATCAGAAGGGTGATCTGGTTAAGCTTCCTGGCCTTATCAGCTCTTATCTGTCTCGCTGGTTGGATGCGTTGATTGGAGGCTGGACCAAGCCATCGAACGGCTCAGGCGGGCAGGGCTTCACCTGCGTCAAGGAGTGCGAGTGGCACAGTGTCGCACAGTTCTGGATTCTTTCCTCCCAGTTGCTCCAGGCAAGCAATTGAAGACTATATGCGCACGGAGGGCTTTGATCGCGCCCTCGTGGATGCGTGCCTTCGAGGTGGCCGTGCTTTGCTGTCTTCGCGTAGTTCGCAGCCACTGGTTTACTTGCTCAGGATTTTCCTCCTGTTGAGGGTTGTGGGTGAATCGGACAGCGGAGACGAGCAAGAAACCGGGAAATTCAGTGGCCGCCCGAACCCCGCATTTGCAATCCATTTTCAATTTTCACCTTTGGACCTAGAGAGTACCTAGAGGATTGTGCATGAAGTGCCAGCATCTTCATGGTAAGCCGGGGCAGTTGCGACCCCGAATACTCTTGACACCTTTCGGGATTCGAAGCGCTAATGTCGTTAAGTTCGTCTCAGGCATTCAAGGCGTGTGATTCATCCTCGCTGAAATGTCTGTGCGCTCGTGCCCTTTCTGTACACTTTCGGGTTTCATGAACCCGTGCTAGAGGACTTGCAGCACCAGGAAGGCCTGTGGTGTCCGAAAAGCCGGCAAAGCATCTGATGCTCCTCTCCTTTGTGGCTATTCCTCCGCCTGCTCCTTGTGTGACCAGCTGCCTGACACACCCGAAGCGGGGATTTGTGCAACTGGATCCAAAGAAGCACCTGGCTTCTCTGACGATTGAATCTTACGAAGCCTGGATGTCACAGCGTTGATGTGCGCATGGATTCGTAAGTTCTTGTTGCACAGGTAGCATTGCGTTGACTCCGATTCGTGTCGGGCTTCGTTTGCCTACCACTGCTTCACGACTTGTCCTGCGACATCGCAAAACGAAACGAGGGCAGAACGATCTGATGTGATTTCTTCAGACTAGCAGCAATAAGCAGCGCAGGCGGGATGTCACACAGTTTAGACGATCTCGGAAAGAAGTCGCGCCCTGCAGATGGGGAGTCCTGCCGCTTCAAGCTGCAGCAGGAGAAGCAGCGCTTGTGCCCCGGCGATTATGGAATGTGGAGATAGGAGTGGATAGTCCTTCATCAACGGGTGTAGCGTGTGACAGGGAGTTGGTGTCCTCTTGTCCTCTTGTGAGAGCAAAGTGCGCTGTATCTGTGGTTGAGGAGCCACGCTTGTGCCGAGCAGTTTAAGACCATTAGCTGACTGGCCGTACTAGGCCGTACGGCTTGTCGTTTCGTGACAGGCAATACCCGCATCGCTCGCGCAGCAGGCAGTCCGGATTGCATGTTGTATCAGAGGAAAGCAGCGTCTCAGCGCTTGCGATTCACGCCTGGAAACGCTGAGTTTTTGATCGTGAGCAGATCGACATGTATCACTCTGACAAATTGCAATCTGCGTGAAATGGAAGAGTGGAGGAGACGATGCAGCCAGTCGCGAAGTGCTTCGCGAGGAAGAGCCACAGTGGTGCTGAAGCCAAGGAGACTGCACCAACTTTCGGCATGTTGTGCTCAGTAGTCTTCCCCGGCCGGATGCTGAAATCAAAAGCCACTGAAGATGGGGCGGGGTGATGTCTTGCGGGCAGTTTCTGGCAGTCTCGACTTGAAGCAGCACTAGCCTTTGAATGTACTTAGCACATCTCAGTTCGGCCGCGATGCGGATTCTTTTCTTTCACGGTTTTCGCCATTGTTGTCGTTTGATTTCGAGCGCAGTTGGTTCTGTGTGAGCGGCTAGTCGGTTCGTCGATTCGAGCATCAGTCGGTGCATCAGCCCAGCTGGTCACTCGGTGCCACTGGTCTGTCATTCTTCCAGGATATGACATGACGCATTTCCCTTGCTGCTGAAGCGTTAGAACCAACATCGGTTTCCATGCAGGGCTGCCTGACCTTGCCAGGATTGACTGATGAAGCTGACAATGCTGTTAATGATTCGGCAGCAGCTGATCCTTGATGAGGACCTGATGATGTATCGATCTTATTGAACTGCGTGATGGATTGCGTCTCAGAACAGCCGGCTGTTGTTTTGAGCAGGCAGTAGTCCGGCAGAAGGAAACAGTTGCAGCTTGACTCCTTGAGGGGGGGAGTTATTGATAACGCCTCGTAGCACTGTGCAACACAGTGCTCCCATTAATTAGCGCTTGGGTGGTGCAGGCTCTCTCTGCAGCGCAACAAGCTGGAAAAAATGCCGTCATGTGTGTTTGTGTTACACGGGTCACTGCTCTGTTTACTGCTGGGCCTGAGAGAGGCGAATCTCACGCCCTCCTACGTTCCAAAGTCGGCAGCTCGGGCTCTGGAGCCTTAGCCCGGCTCTTGAAATCGCGCGCTTCTGAAAGGTTCTTTGTGATCTTGCAAGAGCTTCCAAAGCTTCCAAACGGAAAGCGCGGCACTTGGAGTGTGTAGTGTTATTGCAAGGCTGCGGAGATCTGCGGAGTTGTTCGGAAGTTTAGGTCCAATTTGAAGCAGCTGGCAGAGATGGCCACGGACCACGTGGTGGAAGAGGGCGAGGCCGGCTCCGACCAGCTTTGTAGCATGGATATACAGCACTCTTCCCTGAGGTTGTGATGGATTCCTTAGGCCAGATGAAGAAGCTGTCCAAGTGGGCCATCTTCGAGAATCAGGTAGGACGGTAAGTCGAGCTCAGACTTTGAGAGTGCACCGCCGCCACGGCTCAACCTCATCGGCCAGGTGATCCACAGATGTTATGCGCAGAGCACTTAGTGACTTAATGCCTTGGGCAGCTGTCGTGCCAATTTTCCGGCACAGGCCGGTGTGGTCCGCATACTGCTGCTAGGTGGTGGATGATTGGCGTCCTAACGGATCACTACATGCGTTTCAGAGATGCATGTAGAGAGAGTTAGTTAGATCCTGCAGCAACTTGTTCCGGTACATCGGGTTGTATAACCTGCCGCAAGCAGAGGCTGTGCCATCGACATGGACAAAGACAACCAGTACTATCCCTTCTGCACGACTTTGGCAAGGATTCCACGACCGCGCACTCTCCCTGTCGTATTTGTGCAGTTCGGAGCGGCACTGGCCATGCATAAGTCATGAGTCGGGAATGTAGACGTTTAGCTAGTCGATGCTTAGAACCAGAGGCATTTGCTTGGCAAGGACAGCCGTGAGGCCTTGGTCCGAGATCCTTGTTCGCTCTTTGGGGAATGATCAAGATTTGTTTGGTCAGAAACTCAGAGAATGGCCCGTTTGCCTCACATCGGTGCAGAAGTCTTGTGGCATTTAGCGATTTAATGCTTCAGCTGTGAAGTCGTTCCTGCGTTCTGCAGTGCCTCCCATTTCCACTTCTGAGCTTGGGGAATCCCTCGAGCCCAGGCTTTATCATGCTGGGAGCCTACCAGGACTCCCGGCCAGCCACCCCCGGAGGGCCTCCAAGCGTGAAGTTTGGGATGAAGGACTGCACTCCGCTGGACTCCGGTCGTTCCGGCATTGACCGTCCAGTTCTTGGATGCCAGGATTTCTTTGTCTTCATCGTCTACATGGCCATGGCCCAGAGCCTACAAAGTCTCGAAGCCGCAACTCACCACTTCTTGGCTTCCTGTTCTTGCCGGTCGAGGCTTTGCCGTTGCCCCAGATCTTGCACTTCATCTTCCGGGAGTATGCCTGGCCGATCGACTGGGGTGGATCGACTTGTTTTCCTGCGTACGCGTGCGCTCGCTCAGCTTGTGAGACCTGTGCTGCTTTCGAACTGGGAGGCGGCATGGAGCCGACCAATGAGTGGGGCTGGAGCTACATGCAGGTTGGACTGTAAAAAGTACGGCTAGACGGAGGGATTTACGGACGCACCGGCATGACAGGTGAACTCCTACACATCGGATCACAGGTGGTATCTTGGCATGGTCTTCTGCGTCCGCGCCTTACTTGACTCGCAGTCAGCTTGCCTAAGCTCTGCGACCTGCTGAGGCCAGGCTGTATCTGGAGATATGCGAGCGCATCCAGGCGACGAGACAGAGAAAGATAAGCCCTGTAGACACTGTGGCCAGCTATGGAAATCCTTTCCCAAATTCGTAAAAGCGCAGAAAATGGTCACCCCTCGCGAATGAAGCAAACACGACGACATGCATGCTGTCATTGATGGGCGATCGGCATTCAGCCCCTTATCTTTCGACTAGCGCATGCAGCAGCAGCTGCAGTCGTGGTGCTTGCCTGCCCTTGTGGAATACGACGGCGGCCTGAGTAAGCGATTTTTCCAGCAGAGAAGCCGCATTGTGTGACTTTGTTGACGGATTCAACAGGCCACATTCTCGTTTGATCCTTCTAGTGCATGCAGTGCATTGCAGTGCCATTTACGCTGGTGCCACTTGGAAGAAGCTGCCCTGCGAAGACCAGAACAATGAGAATGGAGGTACCAGGCTGGTTACAGGGCATCCTGGCCACAATCCCGCACCGAGCTCAATTTCGCGGGATGTCAGCACTGTGCTCGTTTCCACTGTGTGTACCCTGAGGTGCATTCTGCCCGATTCTGCTGTTGAAGGCAGGAGCAAGGGATGAGGCATGACCACTGCGTTGCTGCTTTGCCAGGTCCCGGCCGACGGCCCTTCACATTCAACATCTGCCAAAGTGAGAATGTCGTAGCCACAGACTGCGTCCTACTGGTAGTAACATAGCAGAGAAGACGTAGCACCTGTTGCAAATCGTGATGGTGCAGGGAGTTGAGGAATCAAACTCGCTGTTGTTTCGTGTTCCTGTCCGTCGTGTCTTTCGCAGAGGCCCTGTATCCCCGAATGCCATATTCTGAAAGAAGACCACATCCAAAGACCTGGCCAGGGTCACCCGGGGTTACGTTAGGTCGTTAACTTCTGGGCGAAGTGAGGACCATGGCACAGCAACTGCAGTGGCAGCTACGCTAAGGGTGCCCGCACTTGTCCGGGATCGGAGATGCCTTAATTGCCCACAATGAACAAGCGAGCCAACGAGCAGCAAGCTCGAGTCGAAGCAGGATGAGGGAAGCAAGTCCACGGGACCACACTTTGCTGTGGCTGTGAATACCGGTCTGGCAGACACTGCTCGAAGCAATGATGCAAAGGGCCAGCAGAAACACCAATGACGCGATGGTTGTGACCAGATGTTGGATGGTCAGCTCAGGCTCAGACATACGTGATGTGGACCTTCTCGTGGCTTGGCAGTCATGTGATGTGTGTGCTGCGCAGCATGGAAAGGAATTCAATGACAGTCAAGGAGCTCATGTTGCGTCGCTTCTAAGGTGGATTTTCAGAAACTTTGGAACCGGATGCCCCATGTACATGCGCTGGGTGTCATGGTGCCTTGTTGGTCACAAGTATCAAGGTGAGCTGGTGTACGGTAGATAGTCGGATGTACCTGGTAAGGTATCTGGCATTCTACGTTTGGAGCTTCCACTATTTGAGGTACCGAGCTGTGTTGTGCTGAACGATGCGATGTGACGCGTCTGTCCCTGTTGCCAGGCCCGCAGTGGCATTGCTGTCCAAGCGGCTCCCGAAGGATCGAAGATGCTCGGAGCATCGAAGCTTTTCCATGGCTCTCGTGTTCTCAGGGCCCGACGTGGTCAGCCGCAGCCCTGGGTTGCAGCATGTTCATCGGAGCCGGCTTCCCAGCGTAGACTCTCGACACTCCGGTTGAGTCGGATTTCGAGAGGCGCCTCCTGTACAGTTGTGCAGGTTCTGATGGCCTTGCTCGTGCCCGAGACAGGGTGAGGGCCAGGGTGCTTTTCTTTCTGTCCTTGGCCCCTGCAGGTTCCACTACCCGAACAACGTCCTTGAGAAAGGGACGGGTATGGCCCGGGCCTTTTTCTTCGAGGAGCCTCTCCTTGGAGTCTGCACTTTCGGAGGCCTGGGCTTGGCTCGAGATCGGGGTCGACATCCTTCAACCCACCCTATTCGTGCGGGGATCTTAGAGAGCCCTTTCTGGCTAGCTCTAAGAATCACAGCCAAGAGAGCTCGAGGTTGGGAATGACCTACGTGCCCGTTGACCTTGCCTGGCCGATCTCCTCAGTGGGGTTGAGGTTCTGCTTTGGTGACATACTTAGAGTGAGTGTTTACCAAACCGTGTTTAGAGTGTACAGAATGTGAGATGTTCAGGTGGGGCAACACCACGTTGGGTGCATATGTCTTTCACTTCTACTTCCGAGACCATGCAGCAGCCTCAGGGAACAGCACCAGACTCATGTGAACCCACTGCGACAATGCAAAATCCTTTGATTCCTGAGCGCCAGGGAGTTCAAAGAGCGCCACAGAGTTTGAGGTGGCAGTGCTGACCATGAGCATCTGCGATGGGCTTGCCTGGGCCTGGCTCTCGATTCTTCGCAGCTCCGGAGCTCCTTCTGTCTTGACAGAGTCAGTTCCCATTCCCAGGATCAGAGTGGACTTCTGGTAGTGGCGGTCATCGTCTGCCTGACTCGTTTGAGGGACGCGGCAAGCGACTTGTGTTGAGACTCGCTCTGGCAGTTGCTGCTCTGCCTGGTGTTCACAACCTTTCTTGGTCCAGTTGGGTGCGCCCGGTCCTGCGCAGTGACCTGCTTGTGCACAGAAGGTCTTCGACATCGCAACTGCAGGAGTTATGAGAATTGACTGGGAGGCACTACATCCTGCTGTCGCCGACGCTTCTATACTCACGCAGTTGCCTTGGAGCGAATGTTCGACAGACGGCCCAGTCGATGCAATCACCTTTCCTTAGGCATCCATCGCATCCTGAATCGCAGCTGAGCAAAACCTGGCTTCATGCATGGACGGTCTAGGTTTGGCATCGCGACAGTACAGTCGAACCTGATTCCAAGTCATGGCCCCAAGTTTCCAGCTCCACCACCCAGACGGAACCCTTTTGCACGGCGGGTCTTTTGCAGACCAAGCTGCGCAGCAAGTCTTTCAAAGACCGTGCTGCTTGGTTAATTCTGTAGGTTTTCTTTAGTGGCCCTGCGGGAGTACTTGACTGTTGCAGAGCCCTCTGCTGATGCCTTGCTTTGGCAAGCATTCTGCTTACTCAGTGTAGGCATCTAGCTCTGACTTGCCTCTGTCTCGACTCATCGTGTTCACGATGCTTGCTGAGACAGCCAGAAAAGCTTACAGGACCTTTGAGGTTTAGGTGAGCCGCTTAGCCCAGAAGCTCTAGTCAGTTCTTTTGGCTCTACCAGGGCCAGCCGCAACACTTTGGCTGGAAAGAGCACTTGTTTCCAGGTGTTGTGTGTCTCCCGGCTCTCTCACATCATACAAGGTTGGCCGGCGGTTCGTCACTCCCCAGCGTGACTGGCGACGGCGTTAAGAAGTTAGTTTCAGCGGTTGTAAAAGTTGATTTTCCAGCTATGCCTCGTTCGTTGGTCAAGAGCTTGCCAGCGGGCACTCGAGTAGGTGATTGTCAAAGGTAAACCCACCGAGCCGGAAGACAACTGCAATCATGTCTCAGTCACATCCGGATGGTCGATTGTTCTCAGAGTCTTCAGATGTCTTCAGCGTCATGTCCAACCCCGCATGTCCGAGCTCGTACTCCTGTGCTTGGATTGGCTCTGCCCTCTTGATCTGTGCCTTTTGTACGCCTGAGTCTGCTTGAGCGCCTAATCGGCTTGCTAGCAGTGTTTTTTTGCTTTGGAATCGTTGGCTCTTCGACTTCGTTGGAGTGAGTCCATTGCAGTGCTCAGTGCGTGTCAGTGTTGTGTCGACCGCCGTTGCTCAGCTCACATCAACTCACGCACCAGACTTGCAAGCAGGCATCCTGTGAGAAAGTGTGCCATCAAAGAAACCGATTTGCAGAGGCGGAGTAACACTTCCCGTGGCCACATGCTCACGCCCCATCACGCCAGATCTGATGCTGTGTCCCGGCGCTTGGTGCGATGGCCGTCCAACAGGTGCCATCTTTGTGGTGCGGTTGAGCACCATTTCGATCAGAAATGGAGATGAGTCTTCTGCGTGTGGCGAAGGGAATGTCAGCCCCTGCCCAAGCCGCCCAGAGCCGCCTTCGGCGGCTGCTTGCAAAGCAGACACAAGATGTGAAGGTGCAATCGGACGATTAGCCCGAGAAGGGGTTTGGACCTCACAGATTCCAAAAATCGGAGGACTTGGAGGTCGAGCTGCAAGAGCGTGAAGCAGAGCGTGTGCACCTGCTTCAGCTCTTGAAATACAAGGACACAGCCGAAGCTTATGTTGCTTTGAGCCCCGCCTTTCAGTTTTGTGGGAGCTTGGGAGCTCGCAGGAGCAAATTCTGCAGCAAGAATCTTTCGCAGCAGAACGGCTACGGACAGCACTCTGCTCTGCCAAGGGCTGCAAGCAGCCCCTCTGCTGCAAGTCACGAGTCTCGTTTCTAGTCAGGAAGTTTGAAGCTGAGATTGCTATGGAAGGTACTACCTGATGCTTTGTGTGCTCCGCTGTTGGAGAGATGCTGCCCTGCGTGCCAGCAGCTGCCGGGGCTTGGCAAGAGCCAAGGAGCTGAGTGATACCCGAGTGACGCATCTGGTTTCGAAGACCTGGTCAGGAGCAGAGTGTCGAGGTGGTCCTTCGCCACGCCTGCAGTGCTTTGGCCATGGGGTTGAGGCAGGTGACAAGTCGACGGATGGAGGATGCCATGCACGAGCCCGGACTTCAGACTCCTTTGCTATATTCTTCGAAACCTAGAATCTAGACTCGTCTCATAGAAATCCGAGGCTGTGGCTGCATGCTGCAGCTCATCGGCTTCAAGTGGCAGCTGTCGAGGCTGGCTGCCGCTGTTCGTCAGCTCCTGGGAGAGTTCATGGAGTCCAACTTGCCTCTTAGCAGGGCATGTGCATTCACTCGCCATCCCTTGTCTCTCTCAGTGGACTGTTTTCCGCTACACACACACACCAAAGGCAAGACAGGAAGACATGCGGAAACCGAAGAAAGAAGGGGGACGAGGGGCGAAGGGGGAAAGCACATTTTTCAATTCGAGCATATATACATGTATATATATATATGTGTGTGTGAAACCCTGGTAGCAAAGGGGCATCTTTTCATTATGTATGCAGGGGGCAGTGGCCTACTCAAGAGTCCACTACCAACGAGGCTACTCTAGTTGGGAGGATATCCAGGCTGATCACCTGGACGGTCCTTCATAGTCGCTTGTTCGCATTGTGTGGCAAGGGGCTAAGCCAAGAACCCCACCATAGGAAGTAACAAGCCGCTAATTTGTCCTGAGACGGAGTGTCCAAGTGTTTGGGCTTGTGTCGACTTGTCCGTCTTTGTTCACCACGTCTCTCCCTCATGACCGTTTTGTGCTTCCTGATGTGCATGAGGTGGCCGTGTTGTTGGAGGGAATTCTTCACCACCTCTCGCCGACCACCCCAACCTGCCTGCGGGTTGGGGTGGTCGGGTTGGCGGAGGTTCTCACTGCTCCCCCCTTTTGTGGGACTTCGGCGAGGGACCCTTGTCACTTTGTCCCGCCCTGCATCCTGAAATGCCCCATTGCCCCGGAATGAATCAGGGCGGCTAGGTCTGCGAAGACTGACAACATGACGGTGTGCATGTAGCTTGCAGCCGCCTCGCTGGATGTGAGTCAATGTGAGTTTCAGTTACTGTTCGGCGGTATAACCATGTGACAGGCAATGTGTGGGTGTGGGCTGTCATCCTAAGCCGCCCTCATCTTGTCTCGACCAGAAATCAAAGTGCCAAAAGCTCAGCAATAGCAGGCTACAGCAAGGGACTTCCCTCCGCCGCTGCCGGTCAAGCAGGATCTTCGGGTTGTGACAATCCTGACGAGTCAGTGCTACGACTGCATGCCAGGAGACAGCTGCAAAGCGTGGTCACGAACTGGATTCTGGCATCGCCAATTTGAGCCTGGGTGAGGCTGTGTACTAGGTCCTAATTAGAACTTAGCCACTAGGATCCGGGCTTCTGTGGGAGACCCGTTGACCCATTGACTGTTGAGCTGTTGCCTGGAGAGGCCGCCTCTGACCCGCGGCACGAAGAGCTCTCCGAGCTCGTGGAGGTCGGGAACCGACTGTTTCTGAAATCGAAGGAACAAGTGCGAGGTGGTAGCATGGTCAGGTCGCGGAGTATGAAGCTCTGGTGGCCCGTCTTCATTCCGAGCTACGCTGGGAGAGATCTCGGCGTGAGGCCTGCGACAAGGTCGGAGCGACCTTTGAAACAGCTTGCAGTGAGGGGTCCGGCCTGTCCGGGTTGGGTGCAAACTGCAGGCCCTGGAGACGCTCCGTGGTTCCTACAGCCTGCGCCTCGTGCATGGGTACTTCGAAGTCTAGGCCTAGGCACAGTGCTGACGCTGTCTCCAGGCCTTCTGTTGAGCAGAGCGACTGCCCATGAAAGCCTAGTCGAGTTGGCTTGAAGCCGTCTCGATTCACAAGGGTTAATGCAAGTTCGGCTAGCTCAGACCGCTGAGGGCCCGTAGTGAACGGAACGAGCCTCCCGATCTCAGTTATTCGTTGTATGTATCGGGAACGTTCGATTGTGAAACGCTTCGCATCAGTGCGGCTCGTAAGGGTCACGAGGGAGCTGCAGTTGTCTGCTACGCGAGCGAAATGACCTGGCTTACAAGCATTACAAGCTTGTACGTTCTGTAGTATTCTGTACATTAGACTCGGCTTGCCAAAACGGTGGCCTCGTTTAGAGCCGGAGCAGGCGCAAGACTCAAGACGTGAAAGGACTCGATGGCTAACTGCAAGCGCAGTTTCCCAGCTATGCCTTCCTTTCGTGGCCTTTCGTTGCCTTTCGTGGCTTAGAGTCAAATCATTCGTCCGGAGACTCGACGGACGGGAGCTGAGGCAACCGCTGGCCATCCAGGCTTTTTGCAGGTGAATTCATTGCCTGTGCAGGCTGCCAGGCTGCAGCCATCTGCAGCCATGCCTCCTGGCTCTCCGAGCTTAGATGACTTCATCCTTATGAAGGCGCGCTGTGCAGTGAATGGCCAGACGCAGCCTTGCGGGCCTTGCGTCTTGGTCGACAGGTCATCGGCAAGGGCTCCTATGGCAAGGTCGGAGCTCTGGCTCGCCACATCTGGTGCATCCTTCCGATCTCTGCTCTTTCTTCAGGTGATGCTTGTGCGGCACAAAGCCGAGGGAGAGGACCATGTCTATGCCATGAAGATGCTCAGAAAGGCACTGCCGGCCTTCTTGACTAAGCAAACGGGGGTTGAAGCTCTTGGTAGCGACAGCATCCAGCCTACAATGATCTTGCCAGGAGAACGTGATAAAGCGTAACCAAGTAGAGCACACGAAGACGGAAAGAAATGTCTTAGAGGCAGGGCACCCTCCGGCCTTGTGCATGATTTCACCCGGCCCCAGCATGTTTGCCGGATCGCGAGGCCGTATCTCATCCATTCATCGTGACTCTTTATTACGCTTTTCAGACTCCAAAGAAGTCCGGAGCTCAAGCCTCGGCCGCCTACAACCTCAAGCAGCTTTGCATCTGATGTGGAGGCTGTACTTCGTGCTGGAGTACTGCACGGGCCTCTGTCGTCCTGTGGGTTGGATGCTTCACCTCTTCAAGGAACTAGATGAGCCATGAGCTAAAGTATACAAGAGTGCCAGCCGGCTGCAGGCCCTGGTGGAGAGCTTTTTTTCCACCTCAGCCGAGCAGGGCGCTTCTCAGAAGGCCGTTGCAGGCCTGGAGTGCTGCCGCGAGTGCGCGCAACCGGTGATCGCGCTCACTTGCTGGGTAGGAGTCTTGAACGTCTTCGTGCATGCTGATGCTTCTGTGGGTGTGGCTCAATCATATTCCTACAGGCTAGGAAGTCAAGCTCTTTGTTCATG